GTGCTTGGCGCATTAGTTACTCCCTGCGGCATACGGTTGAATTCATAAAATCCAAGTGGACAAACAAAAGCAGTTTTAGGCTTATCAGCTTCATCCATTTCGATTTGATAGTACCCAGACTTAAGATCAAGCACTGTGAAGCATTTTGAACCGGAAAGTGCAGTGAAGGCGTCCTCCAACTTTGGAAGGGCATAGGCATCCTTAATAGTTTGCATATTAAGTTTGCGGTAGTCAATGCAGAGACGTATGCTTCCATTCTTCTTGCGGACAACCACAATCGGGGATGCAAATGGTGAATCTGAATCTCTTATGACTCCAGAGCCCAACAGTTCCTGTAAATGTTTTCTCACAGCATCAACATCCTGTGGATGGATTGGACGTGGGCGTTGCTTGAAAGATGTTGGATCGGACAGTTTAATCTGATGTTTCACCTTGTCAGTGCGGCCAAAGTCGAGGTCATGCGTGGCAAACACGTCTGGTATACTGTTGAGTTTTGATATTATTCTCTCTTTCCATTGTGGTGTCAAGGGAGAGTCTGCAAAGTTGTATTGAAACTGTGGCATTGGTGTCTCTGATGGCTGGTGCAGAGGTTGGGCATTGTGCTCTTTATTAATGATTGTTCGGAAAGGGCTGATCTCTGCTATGATTGTTCGTGCTGGAATGATTACTGTGTGCTCCGATTCATTGGTTATTATGACTGGCAGGTGACAAGGCCGGTGTTGTGGCAAGTCAAGGAGACAACTTTGAACCAACAGGCCACCAGGGAGGGCAATAGAGGATGGATGTTCAATAATAGCAGCTTTTTCTTCTTGCAAAAGTCGTGTAGTAAATTGGCCTTCAAGAACTGTTGTCTGGCCAGGTAAAATGGCTTCTGGCCGGTCAGAGTGTAATGTCAGAAATGTTGGTTGGCTGTTTGAATTCTGAGCATGTCTGTGTTGCAGTATTTTCAGGATGGCTTGATATCCAAATGCAGCAGATTGGTGGGCAGTTGGATTGGATTCAAAACGCTTTTGATATGCAATGTCCAGTGTATTGGTGCCAATCAATACAAGAGAGTCAGAATGCTTGACATCTGGCACAACAAGAGCTAGAGTGTCCACTTCAATTTCTGAGCCCAAGAATTCTGTTGGAAAAGTTAGATTCAGTTCAACATATCCAAGATATGGTACAGCCTCACCATTTGCTCCTTCGACCTCTAACAGATTATTAAGAGGTTTGATTTCATGATCGGTCAAATAGCGGTTATAGAAAGAGTGTGGTACAGTAGTCACTTGTGAACCGCTGTCCAGTAGGCAGTTGAACACAGTTCCATTTATCTGCACTTGTCCTGTGCTCTTTGTACCAATGAGTCCTCTTGGTAGCAAATGTGGAGGTGGTGCATTATCTTTGGGACGTTGAGTTATGTCAGCTCCTGGAAGTCCCTCTGCAGAAGCTGCCACTAGTTTGACGTGTTCTGTTTGGCTTCCCAGGCTTGTTGCCTCTGACGTAATTGTTTTTTCTTCTGGTCAACAAGACTTGGGTTAGGCTTATTGGAACAGGAGGATGAGACATGACCATCTTCACCACACTTGAAACAGTACCAGGGTTTTGGCTTGGTTGAGGCTTGGGACGGAGTGTAGCTGCTATTCTTTGGCTTATTTGGTTTTGGCTCAGACTTTGAATCAGAAGGCTTTCTTGACAAAAGAGCAGACATTTGACGTTGCAGTTGTTGGATCTGTTTCTTTAAGTCTCTCAGTTCTTCACTTGTACTTGAATTTGCGCTGGTGTTGGTGCAAGAACAGGCACTCTGAGATTGAAGATTTACTCGTTGTTTTGCAGAACCAATATGTTTTTTCATCAATGATTCTTTGACTATTTGGCGATCTTCTTTGGTTCTCAATGACAACAACAACTCTGAAAACGTTGGGGGATTATCTTTCTTTTGTTCAAGTTGCAATTTGGTTATGACTGAATTGTCCCAACATCCACGACAGAATTGTTTGAGTAAGTGTTTGTCCTTATCCGATGCTTGAATACCTCCTCTTTTAATCACCGTACTGAGTGTGAGATGTAATCGTTGGAGATAAGATGATGGCTGTTCTCCGGGATTTTGGAGCGTGTTTAGAAATTGAGCAAAAAGCTCCTCCCCATCTTGCACTGTGCCAAAAGCAGAATCCAGTATTCTGAGCAAAACTGCAGGTAATGTATCAGGCCCATGTCCTTTGATCAGATCTGCAGCAGGTGACAATAAACTTTCCACAATACGACGAGTGACGTGTAAGGCTGAAAGGCTAGGGTCAGCGAGTAACAGTTCAATCTGTGATCTCCATGCATCGTAATCCATTTCATTACTTGGTTTAGGGCTCTTTCCTGAAAATGAACGGAGTCTCAAAGAGGATGATACACTCGCATCACTACTACGGACAACATGTTCCACCACAACTCTTTGCACTTCTTGAGGATTGAGATCATTTCCGGACAGTGATATTCTTTGAGAAGGCATAAATGAATAACTTTGTCTCAATGATGCCTCTGGTTGGGAAACTGACCGGCGAGGGGGTACTGGTTGCGGTTCAGGTGGCTGAGCGGATAGCATGTCCACTGTCTCCTCTTCTCTTCCATCACCATCATTATTACTGTCATTATCATCATCATTATTAGTATTACCATTATCATTGCTTGCTCCAGCCTGCTCCAAATGGCTGCCGATTTGATCCATCACTGACTCAAAACGTTTGCCAGAGCGATCTGCTATGCATTTGAGATCAATAAGATAGTCAGTTTCAGGGGATGAGTTGCTGCCGCTCACTGTGGCTGCATATTCAGACGCAAGGGATGTGACACAAAATGTGCGGTCGGCCGATAAAGATACATAACTATATGGCAACAGTGGTTCTAATAGAGGCATTGCAGAATCATCTGTAAACTCAAACGACCAGGTTTTTTATGAAAGGAACTAGTCGGGTCATTAACATTCAAGACACGTTTGATGCTACCATAACTACGTAGGCAATCAACAATTTCGCTGTCCGCGTCAGTGTTAGTCACGCCAGTAACTAGAACGGATCGTGAAATATTAACGCNACCACCGTGGAAGGGAGAAACCTTTTTTTTTCTTTGAAAAAAAAAAAAAAAAAATATAAATATAATATATATATATATATATATATATATATATATATATATATATATATATATATATATATATATATATATATATATATATATATATATATACATATATTATATATATATATATATATATTATATTATATAGAACATACTTCATAATGCATCTCCCATCACAGTTTTGAAAACTTAAGGTATTTAGTCTATTTTAATGTATTCCAGAAATAAAGCCATTTTGTTTATGCAAAAGTTAAACATAAATTTTCGCTTTTAACCATAAGATTTGGATGAGAATTATTAGAATAACTTGGTCTCCTACAGTTTGAGTACCCATGCGTAATGTTTCTACCGATTCGTGTACGTAATTTGCGTGGTGCCTGATGTTAGCATTAGCGTTAGCATCTAATAAAATAACTACACCTGTCTCATTTAAGCACGGCCTTTGCGGTCCGCGGACACTGCTACTGAGCGCGCCCCCTGCAGGTTTGGACCACTTCTGTTGTGGCGACTCTTTATGCAGCGTTTTTTCTTTTTGCAGGTGTTTCTTGTTTTCATCGTTTCGCGCTTTGCATCGTTTCTCTATTTGCAGCGCATTTGATGATGATTCATTTGTCTTTGTTTCTTGCAGCGCGTTTTTTTCATCTGCACCACGTATTTTGTTTGTACCTCGTTTAAACTTGTGTTTGACCCTGTGAATTTGCATCGTTTCTGTACTTGAAATTGTTTTCTCTAAATGAGACGCATTGAGCTATTACAGTGCTTTTGGCCCTCGTCGGCCACCGTATGAAAGGGATGGAAAAACTCCAACATATTTTAAGTTAAAGGGCCCATCTCATGCAAAATAACTCTTTTCACATTGTATCTTCTGCACATAAACAAGCACAATTTGGGTTTTGGAACATCCATAACACAATAGTTATGAAATCTTACTGATTTCTTGGAGACAGCCACAGACCAGGAACTATGAAAGACCGACTATTGCTCATCCCCCCGCCCGTCCTGAGAAAGCACAGGCTCCACCCTCCAAACGTGACGTAGGCTCTGAGAGAGCCGCCCTTCCTCCGCCCATCTCAGGGAGGGAGGGGGAGACAGGCGTGCATCCTGATAGTGGTAGGAAGAAACTTTTATTCATCATGGTGATACAGAGCATTCAGCCGCATGTGTTGGACCCGGAATCGGACGAGGACTTTGAGGTGCACGAAGCTCAAGCACCGCGTTGACACCAGCTGAACATTACTGATTGGTAAAGTTTTAATAAACACTAGTAGATAAACTTATTATATCATGTTCACTGCAGTGTAGAACAATGAGCTTATGCTGTGGCTTTTGTTTAGGTGTTCATGTGGGAATTGTCAGCTGATGTGGAGTGAAGGTGGTGGAGCAGGGAGGGGGGCGAGTGCGAAGCGCTTTCTGATACGTCAAACGTGTCATAGGTGTAGCCGCCGTGTCATCGTTGTAGCAGCTTTAGTTCGTTGTCATGTGGGAGGGTGGCAGAAATATGCGGCAATTTGTAAAAAAAAAAAACACCAAATCAATCTAAAAAACACTTCGGCGACATATACAAGGCCCACACATCACTCTTAGAAGGTAGAAAGCTCTGAAAAGTTGATTTTGCATGACATGGGCCCTTTAAGTCAGATTAAGAGGGAGTACGGTGGATTTACTCCTATTGACTTTATAGCTCGTCTCGAATCACTGAAGTGCCAAGAAGGTGGAGATGTGAATGGGTGACATCCTTCAGATACAGCAGTATATCATCTGCATATAAAGATCTGGACTGCCTCTGGTTTTAGCAGGACTGAGGTGCGCCCTGACACGTAGAGTGGCCGTGTTTCCCGGGAGCGGACATTTTACATTTTGCATGTTGTCATAATCATAACAAACAAACAATCTCACATGGGGAACAGCAGGTGACCACTGAACGTGCTGTGGTGATTTCCATTATCAAAGATTCTTGTATTTACCCACTGACGCAGAAACACAACATCTCCAACCTCCAGGAGCAAAGTGGCTCCATTAGAGGATTTGCCGTCACCAGCTGTTTGATATTCATAAGAAATACAAATATTTTCTCCATTCTTCACCAACACAGCACCTGAAGAATGTGAAGAATCCATTTGCCCAAAGATGTATAACTCAAAGTGGTAGGCCCCTCTGACCGGTGCAGTGAAAAACCCTGTAGGATATGTACATAATGTTAGTGTTGGTAACGCTCACATAGATCACTGTAACATGTGTGAGTTTATTCACCTGTGTTTGGGCTGTAGGCGTTTCCAATGTTTGAGACCACGTGTCTGAAGACCAGATTAGTGTGAGTGTTAAAGGGGCCGAGGGTTACTGCACTTGAAGCCATTAAAGAGGCGGAGAAAGCAACTTGTCCCACTGAAAATTAGATGAATATTAAAGTCTTAACATTAAGGTTCTTATCTTGCGAGCAGTGGTAGATAAAGCGCAGTGCAAAGTTGAGTTTAGGGAAAATGACCTGTTATCAAACACACAGCAGTGCTTTATGTGTGCATCTCAAACTACTGTCAACTGTTTAATTCCAAAAGGAACAACAGCTGCTGCACAAATACAGGCTCCATTATGTCAAGACAACATGGTAAAGTCCATCGGACCAATGCACCACGCAACCATGAGAGCGCTTTGTAAATCACCACCAGCCACAGACCTGCAGGTGGTGGAGCATCTTCTCTGCAAATAAAAATATCCAACAGATGATCCTAAGACACACAGTTACAGCAGCAGGTGCTCAAGTGTCCACACCGGGCGTAAATTTACAGCACTCCTTTTAATAATGTAACAGAACAGTGATCCAGTCCAGTTCAGTGCGGCACAACAATCCCTCATGTCTCCCTTTTTCATCCATCCTGTTTTTTTCACCGTATGTGCAGTGGTCCCCAACAGTGACATGTTGATGGCACTGAGCTGCTTATATTTTCTTTTCAGTCACATGAGATAAATAAATAAACAAATGTAATCAGTAAAAGCTATGTCATTAAAATAGTAAAACATAATAAAGAAATTACTTAATAAAAGTTGGCCTGGATAATCTCTGTTGTTGTTTTTGTTGATGGTCTTTATCTTGAGCTCCATGTTTTTCTTTGGTCTTCTATTCTGCTGTATTCATAAAAAGATCACAGACTGGACACTTGAGCCATGGATTATGGACAGTAGCACTTTAACAGGATTTAATGTAGCTACATCAGTGTCTATGTTCTCATCTAAACTGTATCAACCCTGAACTCTTTATATTATCGTACATTATTTGCCCAGTGAACTTGAACTGAGGATAAGTAAAATGTCACTAAACACTTTGCAAAAGACATAAAGTAAAAGAATACGTCTGTGAAAAGATATATAGTTGGTCTATGAACGTGTAAGAAGAGATAAAACTGAAACAGAAATTAAAACTCTTTTGATTTATTATTTCATGCAACACAGAACACAACACAATACTACACAAAAAATATTTAAGACCTGTGTACAAATATAGAGTGTGATATATTGTTAACATATAATCTCAAGTCAAAGAATCTTTTTTTCTTTTTGTAAATTACATTTTAAAAGATGGTCATTAAAATGCTTTTAAGGTATTAATAGTTATATTTACACTCTTAACCTTTTGCCCATAAATTCCATCAGTGACACTTAAGAACAATTTAAATGTGAACAGATAAAAAACATAGGCTGTGTGGTGTGGGTTTAAAGCTACAGATCTGTGAAATGTTTGTGAACTGTTTGAATAGAAAAAAAGGTTAGATGTTTTATTTGAAATTTTAACATTAACACACAAGCATCTGTCACATGGGGAACAGCAGGTGACCACTGAACGTGCTGTGGTGATTTACATCATCAAAGATTTTGGTATTGTGCCACAGACGCAGAAACACGACACGCTCACATAGATCACTGTAACATGTGTGAGTTTATTCACCTGTGTTTGGGCTGTAGGCGTTTCCAATGTTTGAGACCACGTGTCTGAAGACCAAATTAGTGTGAGTGTTAAAGGGGCCGAGGGTTACTGAGTCTGAAGCCACTTAAAGAGGCGGAGAAAGCCACTTGTCCCACTGAAAATAAGATCATCATAAAAGTTTGGACATTAACAGTCCGCAGTCGAAAAATTTGCAAGTCTAAATGTGGATCATAGCAGTGGCTTAACCATGTTATTATGCACACCTTAACCAAAGTCTTTCTCATTGTTTTGGTTCTCAAATTGCATTCAGTGTAAATGATCAAACATTTCCAAATGTCTAAATTAGAATTTAAAGAGAATGTTTTGTATTAGAAGAAGTATTTTGGCCTCTGTTGTGTTTAATCAGTCCTGGGGTCTCATTTGTAAAACAACAAACTTACTCAAACCTCTCTGAGTACAGATGCCTTCTGTCTCATCTCTGAAAGTCATGAAAAGCTTTTGGACTGGAGAGCTCATTTTCACAAACTTAAAATGATAGTATGTACATTTTCTTGCGGTGGATTACTCGCTATGTTTATATTAGTTCATTCAACAAACCCGGTAAGGAATTTCTACATCTATAAATATTTCTATATCTATAAATATCCCATTCAACCTCCACTAGCTCCCATCCCTCAGCTCATCCAAAGGGGCCGAGGGTTACTGTCTCTGAAGCCGTTAAAGAGGCGGAGAAAGCCACTTGTCCCACTGAAAACAACATAAACACTAAAAAACATGAAAAAGAAAACAACTAGAACTGCTTTGTGAAACTGGACTGCACATTTTATAAATGAGACCACTGGTAACTGTCTGAAGAATGTAGGGCTGGGTACCAAACTCATGTCCACAATCCTCCTCCTCGTCAGTCCCGGTAAGGCATAATTCACAAATAAATGTGGAGTAGTAAATATATCCAGTGTGGAATCTGTGTGCGTCAAGACGTATCCAAATGAGATCATGTAAAGTCCTCCATAATCCTGCTCCTGCGTCCAAGTAACCATGTGTATTGAAAAGCAGGTGTCGCTAAAGTACTGGTTAAAAAAATAATAATCTAACGGTACCCAGCCCTAGAAGAATGTAAGACAGAATTTTCATAATCAATGAACTGGTCTCACCTTCTCTGTCTCTCCTCAGGGACGTCACATGGTTTTCAGTCACGTTTGTCCGAGCCTTTATGCTGTTAAGTTCAGCAGCTTGGCCTAAGAGGAAATAAAAGGAAAAAAATAAATAAATAAATAAACCATGACATTTAAAATTAAATTCTGTAAGGAAAGAGTGCAACTAGAGATAATTTGCTGTGGCTTAGACAATCCACCAGTGCTGATACAGAAGATCTAAATACTAAGGTCACACAGTGAATATGTTCACGATGTTTTATTAACACACTTTACAGACAAATACATTTAACTCGACTCCTGTGTTTGTGAACACTGGTATTTAAATGTGTGTGGACGGGTAAACACTTTGAGTGATGATGATGATGATGATGATGATGATGATGCATCAGTTTTATATAGTGCTTTTTTGGACACTCTAAGACGTTTGCTCAGTGAAAGTAGAAAAGTCCATTATAACAGCGACCATTTATTTTTTAATTCTAATCCAATCCTGATCCATAGTAAAAGAACATATGTAAAAGATACTTTGTTGTTTTTGCATGGATTTGTCCTTTTTTGCAGTGAGTTAAACTATTTTAGAACTGTCTGACGCTTATTAATGGAACTTTTTTTAACACAAAACATAAAAAATTAACACTGTTCAAACATGCTCCAAATGTATGTTTGTTAAAATTACAATGTAATTACTAGTTTTGGGGTTGCAATGTTGTTGTTGCATGAATGTACCCACTTTTACAGTGACTGTTTTAGAACTATCCAAGAGTGATTAAAGACAGTACCTTGTTGCTGTTGTTTCAGTGTCTCCACATCTCTGGTCTTCAGCTCTCTCAGTTCAGCTTCTTGTTCTCTAAGTTTGTCTGTTTGTTCTAAGACATCAGAAGATTTAGTGTTGATCAATATTGTAAAAAACACATGACAAAGCCTGTCATGAAAAGACTTCAGTGAGTTGTAGAGAAGTGTTGATTCTGACCTTGGTTGAGAGACTGCAGCTGCTCGATCTTGACTCTGTGTTCGGCCAGGGCGGCGCTCATGTGTCGGAGCACAGCGTGGAGGTCTGGTGGACAGGGCTGAAGCTGCTCTGGCACATTCACACTCTCAGGACTGGCTTGTCTTTGGTCACTGATCTCATTGTCCTGAAGTTCAGCTCCTGACAGAGAGCAGAGCAGCAGCAGCAGTGCACACAACACACTCACTCTTTCCATCGTGTAAAGAAGAATGAGCCCCACAAACACTCTCACACTTTTATACAGACTTTATTACACATGTTACTCATTACCTTTTATCATTTACTATCATTGATTCATCCCTCAGGTGCACATGATTCTAGATAAGATGAAGAATTTCAATCTTTAACTGAATATTTTACATCACAGTATTATAAGAAATAATCCATTTCTTTGATTAGACTGTTGTCCTACATGGAATATTTTTATAGTAATTCTGAAAGTGTCTTTGAACCACCCCTCCACAAACAGACTTTACTTATGGAAAATATGTAGAAATGTCCCAGTCACTTTGAGATCACAAAGGTTGCAGTTAGAGGAGGGATTTGAGCTTGAATAAAATGTCTGGAGATAAATATGTTCTGTGAGTAAAACTGAAATGAATAACATGATGATCAGGATTTCTTGATGAAGGCTGCACATTCTGCCAGATTGTTTTCTAAGAGTCATGGAGATCTTCTTCCTACAGTCTGACAACACGTAAAGGTTCCTGAGAGACTGACTAAAGGAAAATACTTACTTGCACTTTGCTGGTTGAATGGAGTGGATAAATAATAGAGCTATTCCATGGGACCCCATAAGTGTTCATTGCAGTCCACAGTTGTAAATAAAAATAAAAAGTGGATCCTGGTAGATTGTATTGCTTTTGTAACTCTTGAAATGATAAGAGGCCAGAGGAGTTGATATCACTTAAAATATGGACTCCATTATTTGACCATTGACAAAAAGAAATGGGGATGTCTCCAACTTTAAGTAAAGAATTATGAAGGAAAGATCAGGGAGTGTTTAAACCATATAGACTTAATATTGCAGTGTTTGTTGACATTATTCCACACTAATATTATTTCATTAATAATAGAACCATATTTTAAAAGTTGATTTGGAGGAATATTGGGATAGACAAAATCTTGAAGTTGGTGGGAGTGCACATGTTTCTCCTCGATAGATCTTCAGGAGGCAGTAGAGTCTGGGTGTAATTGGTTTAGGGACCTAAGTATGAATGACCAATGATACCACTTAAAGTTTGTGACCCTAAAGCTCCTCACCTTTGGATTTATGTAATAGAGACTTGTATTTATTATTTGTTTTTTATTGCACCAGATGAAATTTGCTTTTGATAGTTGCAACTTCTCCCAGTATTTCTTAGGAGGTGAGAACGAAGCTTGTAAAATTGATTGAAGGAGAATGTTTTTATGACTGAGATTCGAGCATGAAAGTTTAGAGGAAGTGAATCCCATTGGTGTAAATCTGCCTCTACAGCCACTGACAGTTAAAGAAAATTTCTATTGATTATTGAAATAATCAATAGAAATAAATGTAACTATGACTTATAATACAAGGTCTAAATACTGTAGTAAAGTTATATCAAGAGAGAGCACATGTACTTCTCAAAAATAACCAAGAACAACAAGTCTGTATATAAAACTCATATAATTTACAAATATATTTACCCCTGTAAATATTCAACTTTATTACACCTTTCCCTTCGGTTTGAAAGAGATAAGAAGTTGTGATATGTCTGTGTTTCCTCAATAGAACAATAGTGATCTGTGTAGTGACAAAAGGGACTTTGTTTTTAAGATGTACTTTCCTTTGACAAAGTAAATAAAATCAATAAAAGCATTTTTGGAGGCTATGTCATTAAAATAGTAAAACATAATAAAACAATAACTTAATAAAAGCGTGTCCTGGATAATCTCTGTTGTTGTTTTGTTGATGATCTTTAACTTGAACTCCATGTTTTTCTTTGGTCTTCTATTCTGCTGTATTCATAAAAAGATCACAGACTGGACACTTGAGCCATGGATTATGGACAGTAGCACTTTAACAGGATTTAATGTAGCTACATCAGTGTCTATGTTCTCATCTAAACTGTATCAACCCTGAACTCTTTATATTATCGTACACGTTATTGTGCCCAGTTGACTTGAATCTTGGAGGATAATGTAAAATGTCACTAAACACTTTGCAAAGACATAAAGTAAAAGAATATGTCTGTGAGATAAGATATATAGTTGGTCTATGTAAGTGTAAGGAAGAGATAAAACTGAAACAGAAATTAAAACTCTTTTTATTTATTATTTCATGCAACATAAAACACAACACAATACTACACAAAAAATATTTAAGACCTGTGTACAAATATAGAGTGAATATATATATAATCTCAAATCAAACACTCAAATTAAATGAATGTATGAATCTTTTTTCCTTATTTGGTAAATTACAATTTTAAAATATGGATCATTGAAAATACTGTTGAAGGTATTAATTGTTATATTTACACTCCATATTGGTTAAAGAACAGCTGATTTTTCATGTTTTCAATGTTTAACTTTTTGCTTGTAAATTCCATCAATGACACTTAAAAAGAATTTAAATATGAAAAAGTAAAAAAAATAATAATAATTAAAAAAACATAGGCTGTGTGATGTGGATTTAAAGTTACAGATTGTGAAAAGTTTATGTGTTTAACTAGTTTAAACTGTTTGAATAAAAAAAAGTTTAACAATTATTAACACAAGCGTCTGTCACATGGGGAACAGCAGGCGACCACTGAATGTGCTGTGGTGATTTTCATTATCATAGATTCTTGTATTCTCCCACTGACGCAGAAACACAACATCTCCAACCTCCAGGAGCAAAGTGACTCCATTGGCTCCAGTGCCGTAACCATTTGTCTGATGTTCATAAGAGCTAAAAATATGTTCTCCATTCTTCACCAACACAGCACCTGAAGCATGTGAAGAATGTCCATGTGCACCAATGTAGAACTCAAAGTGGTAGGCCCCTCTGACCGGTGCAGTGAAAAACCCTGTAGGATATGTACATAATGTTAGTGTTGGTAACGCTCACATAGATCACTGTAACATGTGTGAGTTTATTCACCTGTGTTTGGGCTGTAGGCGTTTCCAATGTTTGAGACCACGTGTCTGAAGACCAGATTAGTGTGAGTGTTAAAGGGGCCGAGAGTTCCTGAGCCTGAAGCCATTAAAGCGGCGGAGAAAGCCACTTGTCCCACTGAAAATAAGATAAACATAAAAGTCTGAACATGAACTGTCTGTAGTCTCAATGTGGTTTTATTTATTTATTTAAAAAAGAAGCCCCTTGAGATGTAACAGATTCTAGTAGCTATGATTTGTGTTAGATTTATATTATTGAAGTAATTCTGATCATTACTGCAGGAGTGACCAAGCCAATTGTTAAAATCACCCAGAAAAATCATCTCAGTTTGAGTATTTAAGAATTTAATAGTGGAAAGAATAGATTTTGTACATTCAGCTGGGGCATTGGGTGGTCTGTAAATATCACTTTGACAAACTTTGACAAACAGACATTCAAAATGGATTGGGATTCTTTTTGTGTGTAATGACTTCAGAGACTAATTTTGAAGAAATGTTTGTAACAACTCCTCCACCTCTAGAATTTATGTGTCATCTACACAATAAATAATTGTCAAGTTTAATTTCCTCTTCTAAAATGTTCTTTTTAAGTGACTCTTAATGTTTCAGACAGGGTAATTACACCAGGTTTATTGTAGAAGAGCCGGGCTTTTAGTTGATCAATTTTAGGCAGTAGGATCCTGATGTTAAGATGAATCATTTGGATACTTTTGTCAGTTTTTATAAATACATGCCACAACAGAGAGAGTCTGAAAGACAGAACATCACACACACACACACACACACACACACACACACACACACACACACACACACACACACACACACACACACACAGGATTCTGGTTGTCAAGAGTACTGTTGGGGATATGGTTAGTGATAGACTCTTAAACATAATATGTTGGCAGATAATGCTAGGAACAAGTTTGTAGTTTAGCAAGTACTGGAGTCATAGTAGTAGTAGTAGTAGTATTAGTAGTAGTAGTAGTAGTATTACCAGGTGCCTGTCAGAACACTCTTTTATGACAGATCATCACAGTTTACAAAGATCAAACAGGCGTGGTCATGATGTTGTCATTGTGTGCGTCAGAACTAACAAACAGAAACTGTAAACAAGTAGGTGTGTTAGTTTCAGTTAGTTAGCTCCTCCCTGCAGATAAAAGTAAGTGTCCACCAGCGTCTGATCAGAACTGAAGAAGCAGCTTGGATGATCTGAGAAACATCTTCAACCAAACTGACTTTTGTCCAGTCGACAAACTGAATTTTCTCTCGCCATGGATTCTACCTGGATGACTGAGGGATTCTTCACACAGTTTAGCAAGTACTGTAGTCGTAGTAGTAGTAGTAGTAGTAGTAGATCAAAGATCAAACAGGTGTGGTCATGATGCGACTGAGTGGTGAGAGCAGTATTATCAGTTAGAACTTTACTGTCACCTCCACTCAGCCAATAAGTTACACTGGAATTCCTGTACAGCTGTTCATCCATGTAAAGTTTGTCCACTGTGAGACGGTTCTTTTATTGTTCTTTCTCACATCCTTCATAACTGGATACAAGAGCCGTCTTCACTTGAGAATCTCAGGTGGAAACTGATCGCTGAACAGTGTTGGGAAGGTTACTTTTAAAATGTAATCCCCCACAGATTACAGATTACACACCCCAAAATGTAGTTTGTAACGTAATCCATTAAATTACTTAAAGTGAGTAACGTAATCTGATTACTTTGGATTACTTGATATTGTCATGTTTTTTTAAACGACATGAATGTAGCAACCACATCCTGAAAATTCTTGTTTGTTGTCTTCAAATTGTCTGAGCCCAAGTCTCCATGAATAAGCAACTGTTTGCTGTAGAGAAACAAAGACCACGAGATCTTAATATAAGAGGTTTTGTCTGTTAAAAGACAGAAACAAGATCAGCCTTTCCTTCACCAGATTAAAAAATATTATTGATAGAGAAATTATTTTTTATATGAGATCACCTTAAATTATGTCAACCTACTGTTAGGTGTCATGTTGTTTAGACCTGGTTTAGTCCTGGTTTAGTCCTGATTTTTAGACCTGGTTTAGACCAGGTCTAGATCAGGTCTTTAGTTCTGGTTTAGTCGTGGTTTAGTCCTAGTTTAGACCTGGTTCAGTCATGCTTTAGTCCTGGTTTAGTCCTGCTTTAGTCCTGGTTTAGTCCTGGTTTAGTCCTGGGTTAGTCCTGGTTTAGTCCTGGTTTAGTCCTGGGTTAGTCCTGGTTTAGTCCTGGTTTTAGTCCTGGTGTTAGTTCTGGTTTAGAGGCGCACAGGAGGAAGCACGGTTTACGCGAGAAAACACGTTCCACACGCGGCGCACGAGACGGTCGGTGTCCGCGCTGTAACTACGGAAGGAGACGTGGTCCGCGGGCTCTCAGGTTGATGACGATGATGAAGGTGTGTGTTTGTGTTTGTGTGTGTGTGTGTTTGTGTGTGTTTGTGTGTGTTTGTGTGCACGTCCACTCATGTGGCAGGTCACTATAGGACAGTAGTGCCGATATTATGAGTCTATGCAGGTTGTTTTTCACCAGTGCCAGTAGCTCCTGTTTTCACATTTAAGTTGTAGGCGATTTTATATTTGTTTTTGTTTTTTTATATATATCTCACATCGGGAGAAGAATTTCCAAGACACAAATGCGTTTTTACCAATGCACTGCTGCTTCCACTGTGTGACTGACACCGCCAACTTTAACATGACGTTTACATCGCTCTTATTGCGCGCGTTCTGTTTGGGTTTCCGGCAATGAGTGGAATTACCGAAATAAAAAAATAAATAAATGGGATGTAGCACAAAATGTGAAAACAGGAAAATACCGCCTTGTAATCCACTTATTTCAGCAAAGTAACTGTAATCCAATTACCACTCACTGAAGCAGTAACTGTAACGGAATACAGTTACTCATAATTTGTACTCTGATTACATAACGGCGGTACATGTAATCTGTTACTCCCCAACACTGTCGCTGAAGGAGAAAGTTGTTCTTTGAGTTTCACACTTTAGACTTGCTCTTTGGATCCATGAGTTGTGCAACAACAGGACGAGAAGTCCTGTGATGAACTCTACCAAAGATGATGATTTTTAACGATGCCTCATCCATTTTAAGGTGAGTGGTCATAAAGTTTTTAACCATCAGCTCTGTCTTTTGGTCGGTTTCTTCTTGTGCCTCTGGAACTCCGTGTATAATAATAATATTCTTTATTTAGTCTGTCTTAGTATTTTGCCTCTTCCCACAGTCCAGGTAAGTGTGTGAAGAATGTGAGTTAAAATTTTCATGATCGATGAACTGGTCTCACCTTCTCTGTCTCTCCTCAGGGACGTCACATGGTTTTCAGTCACATTTGTCCAAGCCTTTATGCTATTAAGTTCAGCAGCTTGGCCTAAGAGGATATAAAAGCAAAAAAAAAACAAACAAAAAAAACTCACATTTTAAAATTTAATTCTATAAGGAAAGAGTGCACCTAGAGATAATTCACTGTGGCTTAGACAATCCACCAGTGCTGATACAGAAGATCTAAACACTAAGGTCACACAGTGAATATGTTCACGATGTTTTATTAACACACTTTACAGAAAAATAAATTTAACTCGACTCCTGTGTTTGTGAACACTGGTATTTAAATGTGTGTGGACGGGTAAACACTTTGAGTGCTCAGTGAAAGTAGAAACTCACTATAACAGCGACCATTTATCTAACATTTAAACTTTTTAAACTCTAAACGTTGTACAGTGTTTGTAAAGTGTTTTGTACTCAATAGCATCATGTGAACGTAGTACCTTTTAGTTGTTCTTTAATTGGCTCCACTTCACTGGTCTGCTTCTGGAGCTCCTGGACTTGTGCTGTTAGTCCTTAAACAGAAGTACAATGGAGTCAGTGTAAATATTGTTGGTGCAATTCTATATTTTAAAACTGCAGTATATTTATTTATTGATAAAAAGGCTGAACAACCAATTATGAGACCACATTTATTAAGACTCACTAGTTTACAGGCAACAAAATGCAATTACAGAAAATAATAGCAGCTTCTCAATTTTAATGTGGTCTTATAGTAGTTCATATATATATATATATATATATATATATATATATATATATATATATATATATATATATATATATATATATATATATATTAATCCAATCCTATTTCATAGTAAAAATAATTTACATGAAAATTACCTTGTTTGCTTTGCATTAATGTGTCCATTGTTGCAGTGAGATGAATTTTTAGAACTGTCTGAGGTCTATAGTGACTAATGACTGTACCTTGTTGTTGTTGTTTCAGTGTCTCCACATCTCTGGTCTTCAGCTCTCTCAGTTTGGCTTCTTGCTCTATAAGTTTTGCTGCTTGTTCTAAGAAATCACATATAGTGTTTATTAATAATGTATAAAAAAAAATTACAAAACTTCACATAAAATGATTTCAGTGAGTTAATGTTATCATTGGTCTTATAGTAGTTTCGATACAGATCTCTCTTTTTTTTTTTCTTTTTTTTTTTTTTGACAATTCTAAACTAAAATAAATATTTCTATTTCCATTGTAAAAGAACTTAGAAACCCTATAGTGACTAATGACTGTACCTTGTTGTTGTTTCAGTGTCTCCACATCTCTGGACTTCAGCTCTCTCAGTTCAGCTTCTTGCACTCTCAGGTTGACATCTTGATTTCTAAGTGTGGCTGCTTGTTCTAACACATCAGAAGATAAAGTTTTGATCAGTAATGTATAAATAAATAACAAAGTCTAACATAAAATGACTTCAGTGAGTTGTGGAGAAGTGTTGATTCTGACCTTGGTTGAGAGACTGCAGCTGCTCGATCTTGACTCTGTGTTCGGCCAGGGCGGCGCTCATGTGTCGGAGCACAGCGTGGAGGTCTGGTGGACAGGGCTGAGGCTGCTCTGGCACATTCACACTCTCAGGACTGGCTTGTTTTTGGTCACTGATATCACTGTCCTGAAGTTCAGCTCCTGACAGAGAGCAGAGCAGCAGCAGCAGTGCACACAACACACTCACTCTTTCCATCGTGTAAAGAAGAATGAGCCCCACAAACACTCTCACACTTTTATACAGACTTTATTACACATGTTACTCATTACTTCTTAAAATTACTCATTTCACAAGGTCTCTCACTTTTATACAGACTTTATTATACATGTTACTTATTACTTGTTAAAATTACTCATTCCAGAAGGTCTGTCACTTTTATGCGGACTGTATGAGAATCCATTAGTTTTTTCTCACCACTTTTTTATCTCTACCTTTTTCAAAACTTTTTTCATTTCTGCATAATATAATAATCTGCTAATATTGCAGATTAATTGATTAATGAAGATTTTGTTTCAGAATCAGAATTGCTTTATTCATCTTTAAGGGGAAATTCTTTTCATTGCGAACATGCGGCTAACCAGAAGAATAGCCTACATGTAAGAACATTTTAATATCCATATAGTGTAGCAAAATACATAAGTCTAATACATCAACCAAACCCCGAGTGAAAATAAAACAAACTGATTAAAATCTAATCAAAAGATTAGATTATAAAACTTTAATCAAATCTAATCTTTTTATCAGTTTGTTTTATTTTTCACTGGAGGTTTGGTTGATGTATTACAACTACCCTCATAACATATTTACATTTTAATACAGGTTTACAACATTTAACATTTCAATTTTGCTAAATGGATTGTACAATGAGATTTTCACAGTGCAGAGTTCAGCAGTTTGATGACGACTGGCAGGAATGATTTCCTGTGTCTGTCAGTGGAGCAGTGTGGCAGTGACAGTCTATGGCTGAACAAGCTCTTGTAGCTTGTGGAGTGGGTGTGAGGGAGAGTCCAGAGTAATCTTGATTTTGGACAACATCCTCATGTCCTATACTAGCCAGAGAGTTCAGCTCCTCCCGATAACTTCTTGAAGATCTATTACTTGGTCCACTATGATTTCCTTGGGCTTCATCACATTGAACTAAAGGTGGTTTCTCTCGCTCGGTCAGCGGTCCCCAACCTCCGGGCCAGGGACCCGTACCGGTCTGTGGGCCATTTGGTACCAGGACGCACAGAAAGAATAAGTAACTTACATTATTTACATTTTATTTATTATCTGAGTCTGAAAAATGTTTTATTTGGAAAAATGACAAAATTCTCTCTGTTTATGATTCACTATTGACTCACTCTTGAGGCATGTCAAGATGCTTGTCTTGGTCACGTGATACATTAATGCTAATATTAAACCCGCAAGATGCAATGCGACAAAATGAGTAAAAAACAGACGTCTTTGGAAACGTTTCTTATGTAACAAGTAATAAGTTACATTTTATTTATTATCTGAGTCTGAACAATGTTTTATTTTGAAAAATTACAAAATTCTCTCATTTCTCTCAATTCACTCTTGAGGCATGTCAAGATGCTTGTCTTGGTCACGTGATACATTAATGCTAATATTAAACCCACAAGATGCGATGTGACAAAATGAGTAAAAAACAGACGTTTATTATTATATTAAAAAAAACAACAGTTTGTGTTGGTCATATCATTTTTATTTTGTTGTATTTGTCTTCCACACCTTAGGCCGGTCTGTGAAAATATCGTTTGACATTAAACCACTCCATGGCACAAAAAAGGTTGGGGATGGCTGTTCTAGGTAACAACACTGTGGTCCACCACAGTCTTGTCCTCTTATCACGTCTATATGTCGATATATGCCAGTGATAGTGACTGGGTTCTGTTCAGAGGTTACTGTGGTCTTTTCTGTGCATCGTGCTATGTGATGCCTCCCTCTCCCATATGCGTTTTCAGTACATTTTAGTCTCCAGCCTTGGTGGGTCTGTTCTGGTGTTATTACCCTGCCACTGAGCATACACTTTCACAGTTTGTGTTGCGAACAGGCGGTTTATCTGTCTGACTTCGTTATCTTGTGTGTTCCTCTTTAGGCGGCTGGCCAAGGCTTAGAGCCTTTTTTTTGGCAGTTTCGAGTGCTTCAGGTATAGGCAAACTTGACATACCTTTCCCCACTTCCTTCAGCCTTGACCTTGATTTGGGTTTCACTCCCAGTTAAACTTTGGTAAGTTGAATGAATCATCAACCTAATGTTAGAAAAACAACTGCTCTCTACCTTAATGATTTACAGTAGCTTAGGACTTTTTTCTTCTTCTGTTTGGGAAATTTTGGTGGATGCAGAAACTATCTGAGAAAGTATAACAGAGTCTACTGGAAGGAATCCAGCAACTGTTTTTTCCTGTTCCCCTAAATTATGACATGAGTCCAAAAGTGTTTATGTAACCAACTATCTACTGTACAAACTAAACTCTATAGTGGCTGTGTCTGGAGCTTGCTTCTTCACAGCAACTTGGAGCAACTAGAAGTATAATCCCAGATTTGACACTAGACACTGGAACACACATGTAACAAAGTACTAAAGTCATAACACAGTTCTGCTCTCTAATATCTGCATGTTTTATACAGAGAATCTGTTTTATGTTTTATAGACAGAGTTACATATTCATATGAAGACACATCATGTCACTTTGCTTCTCAAAACATCCATGCTGCCGCATTAGGAAGAAAAGGTATTTCATTATTGTCTTTCACATGCTCCTTCAGATTTTGACAACACAATGTTCACAATTAATTTGACACCCTTGCCTGCTTAAAATCTTGGGCAATATTTTTCATCACTATTGACTGAAGAAGCTCACTGCTCTCCATGACCACAGCCACAAATGAACCAGCTGCTAAAGGATGAGACTCACCCTGAATGGCTAACCCAAGGGCGTACAATCTTGATCCTGAAAGCTTTCTCAAAGGGTACTATCAAATATAGCAACATCTCCACAACATGGAAACTCATGTCAGGCATCATCGCAGCTAAGATAAGCAGGCACATGGATCAATACAGGAGCACAGTACAGAAAGGCATCAGCAAAAACACCAATTGCCTGCAACTGCAGAACCCGTCAGACCGACCTGTGCACTGCCTGGATTAATTACAAAAAAGCCTGTGACTCAATGCCACACACATGAATCACTGAGAGCCTGGAGATGCACTGTCCCCATTGTCTCAGACAGAGAAAGAAGTGCTAAAGGGACCGTCATGGACAAGGCCCTACAAGGGGTGTACCACCAGAACATAAATGAAGTGGCTGATCTCAAGAAATCCTACCAATGGCTGGAGAGGGCTGGTCTGAAGGACACACAGAGGCACTCATCCTGGCTACTCAGGAGCAGGCCCTGGGCACCCGGGCAATAGAGGCCTAGATCTACCACACCAGACAAGAGCCACGGTGTAGGCTGTGCAAAGAGGCTCCTGACACACTCCAGCACATAACTGCAGGGTGTAAGATGCTGGTCTCCAAAGTTTGTGGAGAATGACCAATCCAAGATCCTATGGGTCTTCCAGATATAAACTGACAGAATAGTGATGGCGAACCAACCAGACATAGTGGTGGTGGATAAGAAACAGAGCAGAGTCGTGGTGGTGGACATCATGATACCTAGCAATGGTAATATCAGGAAGGAGCATGAAAAACTAGAGAAATACCAGGGGCTCAAGGAGGAGCTGGAGAAAGCCTGAAAACTGCATCAGTGGAGCCTGTGGTGATCAGAGCACTCGGGGCTATAACAACCAAACTAGAGGAGTAGCTGCAGCAAATCCCAGGAAAAAAATCTACATTTTCTCAGTCCAGAAAAGTACAGTACTAAGAACAGCAAAGATACTGTACAGAACTCTCAGGCTCCCAGGCCTCTGGTAGAGGACCTGAGCTGGATGAGGGTGAAAGAGAGAGATCACCAATTTCTGCTGTTATAACACATTCATTTCTACTTCATGCTCACATGAACATGTTGTGGCATTCTCCTTAATTAGAAAACAACTGATATGTTATTGCTTTGTCTGGAATGTTTCTTCATGGAGACTATAAAACTATAACTATAAAACCTTTAATTGAATAAATGTAGGGTTTAAGCTGTTTAATGTCATACTGTGGAACATTCCTGGCCAAAAGGTTAGTGCACCTTTAAGTATCTACCCTTTTTGGTTTTAACAGAAACTTGGTTAACACAAGGTGACTGTATCATTGAAGCAACCCTCCCTGACTACACTTTTCTCCACCAACCGCGACTGTCCCGTAATGGAGGGGGGGTTGCAGCCATTTTTAAGAACACTTTTAAATGCACTCCCTGTTTTTTGTTTTGTTTTTTGTTTATTATTTTAATTCATTTGGGCACCTGACATTTACCATTTCTTCATAAGATCCTGTGTTTGCTTTTATATAAAATAAAAAAGAAAGGGAAAAAAAAATGCTGCTAATTACTCAAAGGTGCACTGTGTAACTTTCTGGTAGAGGTAAGTAGGTTAGTTAAGTCGTAGATGTTAAAGTCTTTTACTGGAATGTTCAACATAAATACAAGATATATTTGTTTAATGCCATACTGTGGAACATCTCAGGCAAAGCAATTACATTACCATGAGACAAGCAGATAGCAGACCCTCCACCAGAAAAGTTACACAGTGCACCTTTAAGTCTCAGTAACAGTACAAATAAAGGCACACTACGTAGCTTTTTGGTTGGGGATCCGTCACCTGCTTGTTTCTGTGGATTTGTCATTGCTCTGCCTGGAATGTTCTGCAGTGTGACATTAAACAGCACTACCTAACATTTATTCATTGTGGTGGTTTTATAGTAAAATAAATAAATAAATACATAAAACAGGTATTCTGATTATGAGGGGGGTTGCCATTCCACAGATCTGACCTGTAATTTGGTCTTATTTGGTCACCATGAAGATAGAAAGGTTTAATTGCATACTGTGGAGCTTTCCAGACAATGCATTATAGTTTACTTTTTTCCACTTATTTTAAAGTCCAGGAACCTCAAAGTTGTGATTTCCATTAGACCACTAGTCCTGAGTCTGTTCCCATGGAGACAAAGCACAACAACATGACAAATGATTTGCAAATTTCAAAATTTTCATACATTTTACTTCCATTTGAGTATGGCTGGGACAGAACGAAAAGGTCAAGTAAAG